CCCAACAAAGCAGGCAAGCAGCGTCGCCTGGATAGGCGGAGGATACTCATTTACGCGCCTGCACCTGGACGCGCCCGCCCCGCTCGGGCCGCGCCCTGGAGTGACGCCAAGGCCCCCGTGGATAGACGACCGAGACACCAGGTGGACGAAGAAACATAACAAGGGCGAGTTCTACTGCCAAGGGTGCCCCCGCGGCCCATTCAAGCACGACAAAGGGGCGTGCGTCAGCAAGCGGATCCGCCAAACCATTACGGTCCATAGGCGAACGGAGTACTACCAAGGAGGGGACCTCACCTGGCCGTGCATCTGCTGCTGGACCACGAAGGCCATGGAAGAGCGCCTGCCCATTCCAGACGACGTGGACTTCAGGGACTGGATCAAGGACCGCCCCGACGACATGCCAGTGCGCACAACGCGCGCCCTGCCGGGACTGCGCCCTACCTCGGCACCTACGGCCTCCACGCCCCTGGAGCAGCTGCTGGCCCCGCCGGAAGGCGAGCTGAATCCGCCCAACGTCGGAACCGCACTCCCAGCCAGTAACGCGAACGACGATCGCCTGATCTCCCATGTCTACAAGAAGGATTTCGGCATCTGGCGATGCGACGGGTGCCCGCCAGGCACAGAGGTGCACAGATGGGGGCCAGGACAGCCATCCCCTGGCATGTGCGGACACGCCGCTGACCCAGGAGGTCTCCGCGCCGGCTTCAGCCTGGTCCACGGGCCCCCACCCATGCAGCTAACGAGGGAGACGTTCCTGACCAAGCGCTGGCACGCAGGCTGGTACTGCAAGGGGCGCTTGATCCACCAATGGGACACAGCCCCGTCAGCAGTGAAACACGCACTCGACAGGTGCGGCCCTGACGTGTGCCCTAGCGCAGGAGCCAGGCCCCTCGCCGCGCTACCAGGCATCCCCGCCGCCTCGACAAGGGGTCGCAATGCGCCCCAACCAGAAGGAAGTGCAGCGGCGCGCCGCGGCCTGGGACGAGGAAGCGCGCGCCTACCAGGAACGCCACCACAACTCACCCCCGCCACCTCCCAAGGATCAGCAGCAGCACCTAGCCTGGGGGCGACAGCTGGCGGCCAGGGAGACGCACGCAAAGGCGGTGGCGCATATCAGGGGCGATGGCGACGGGGGGGCGCGCGTCGGAGGGGCCACGCGCAGACCCCATCGCCACCGCTTCAGCTCAGCCAGCCGCGGGACACACGTCCAGCAGCGAGCCCCAGCGGCATACTGCCCCCCGAGCAGGCGGGCGCCCTGACCACGCCTCCAACCAGGCAGACAGCCCAAGACCCGCCAAAAGCGCCTGACGCCCCGCGGCTCACTCCCGCCCACCCCGCGTGGCGACGAGCCGGCCCCGGCCCCTCCCGCCACGCGACCCGCGGCTACCAAATCCGTTGGGGCGCCACCAGCCGTCAGCGCTACTCCTGATCCCCTCCCGAGCGCGAGGGGCCCAGCCGCCTCGAGCGGCAGCAAGGGCGAGTCCCAGACACACCCATCCAGGGCTCCTTCTGCCCGATCGCAACGGACAGCCCGTGCGTCCAGAGCGGCGACTACGTGGTCATATATCAGGGGCGACGCCCTCCCCCGTGCCAGATGGTTCAGGTCAGCGGACAGCGCCGGGCCCCTGCCCGCGCAACCCCTGGACGGAACGGCATTCGGACCCGTCCTGGACGCCCTGGCCCGCGAACAGGAAGGGCGAACCCTCATCGTCCAAATCAACAACGAGTGGCTGGAAGTCTGGGGCGCCGGTGCCAGGGCGCTACGCGCGAACGTCCTCCGCGGCGACGCGGCGCTCCGAGCGGCCGCCTTCCCGGGCAGGACCTCCGATGAGGCGCGCGAAGCGCGCTCGCCAGCGGCCCCCGCCAGCTCCTGGCTCGGCGCCGACGTCGGGGGCGCCAGCGCGACGTCCGCAGAAAAGGACTCAGCCCGACTCCAAGCCTGAACCTTGCGCGCCGCGCACGGACACACAAGACCCCACCTACGAGCCGGCACCCCTCGCGCACCCTAAGGAAGAGGACCCTGACTGGACCAGCGACGACAGGGGGCAAGAAAGGAAGCAGAGGCTCGCGGAGGCCCTAGGCATGGTCCACATGGTCTCTCCCTCCTCAGACCCCGACACAATCGAGGAGGGCCAAGCCAAGTTGAGCCCTCGTGGCGAGCGACGCAGCAGTCCCGAGCGCGACTCAAGCAGCACGTACCAGACCCAGCCAGCCTGCGCACCCACAGAACCGACCGCGTTTGCGACGGCCGCCGCCGACGACCGCGCCCTGCACGCGCGGCCCAGATCCAAAGCCCCAGAAAACAGGCGCCCCGTACTCAACCCCCCCCCTGCACGTGAGCTAGTGCGCGTGCGCGGCAGGGCGCGGGATCCAGTTCCCTGGGAAACGCACGAGACTGCGGCGAGGCACTCGCCCCGAGAAACCAGCGACCAAGCCCGTGCCGGAGAGCGCGACCGCGACCGAGACCGCGACCGCAACAAAGGCGTAGAGGGGGCCCCGTGGCGCAAGCAAGACACCAACGACTGGGGCAGAGCCAGAGAGCGCAACGGGGACCAGGACCGCGACTGTGGCAGGGGCACAGGGTGGACCCCCTGGCGCCAGCCAGAAGGTCAACGCAGCTCTCACCACAGGGACGATCGCCGTTACCCTGACCCCAGCCGCCCACGGACAATCCATCGCATCAGCTGGCCACGCCGCTCACACGAGACAGCAGTCACACACCTGAAGAGGCCGCAGGCTGAGGGGGGATACCACTTCACCGCAGCCTGGCACTCGCGGTGCAGGCATATATGTAAGGAGCAGGGCAAAGGCAAATCCAAAGACCAGCTTGCGTTCGACCCGAACTGCTGGCAGCCCACGATAGTCGACAAATTTCTGGAGGATATGAACAGCTGCAACCACAACGTGGAAACGTGGTCTCGGTGCGCCGGCGTCTACGTGGACTGGGGCCGGGAAAAGGCCCTGTACCAGGATGTCCAGAAGAAAAAAGAGGTTGCCAAAGGTGAAGAGCGCGGGGAGGGCCAGGCACGCAGCTCCGGGTACAACGACAACTGGACCGGGCAGCGCCCCAGGCTCTGACCAGCCTGCAACCGGCCCCCCCTATCAGGCGCAGCGCGCCGCGACCGACTTCTTCCTCTCACACCGACTTACAGCAAGATCCTTGTCCAACCCACCGCTGGCCACGCCCGCCACCTGTTCCCCCTTCCCCCTCCCCCTTCGCCACCTGGCTTGGGACCGCGTGTCCTCCTGATCCCCCCCACCTGTTCCCCCGCGGCCTTGGCTGGAAGGCTGGTCCAGGAGCCCGGCAGCCCACGGGCGCCCCCGTCGCGCGCACGGGGCAGGCACGCGCAGCATGACGGGCGCTGTAGCGGTGCACATGATACGTGCACGGCTCCACTAGCGACGTTTGCCTACTGGTCCACCTGGTCCCCGTCTGTGTTACCTGCTCCCCCCCCCCCCTCCTGTCTTTAACTTGTATTGGGACCGTGTGCCCCACCTGATCCCACTGGGTGCCCAGCTCCGCCCACGTGAGCACCGATGGCGCGGGCTGGCACGTCGACGGCCGGCCTGTGAGCGCCAGCCCTTCTGCTTCCTGTTCGGTTCTTCCCCTCCCACTCGCTTCCCCCCCTCCCATGGCGGCAGCGCCCGGCACTGCGCGGCTTCGGCCCGGTGCTAGGCGCTGCACCTTGCCGCCTCGGCGGCCCCGCTCGCCATGGCGCTGCGTGGCTCAGGCCCGGCCCTTGGCATTACGAGCGTCAGCGCATCGTGTGTGGCTGCTGCCCGTCTTCACGCGCTGTCGATGCAGGGCAGGCTTTCCACCTGCAGTTCACCGACTTCCTGTCGGTCATGGACGGCCCGTTCGTTTGGAGGCCCCACCTCAAACTGCGCTGCTACCTGGTCGTGGAGGATTGGACTACCACCCCGGGCCTCCTCTGCATCATCTGGTGGCACAACGTTGCTCATCGCCTTCGTGGTGCTCTTCTTCCTCCTGGGCGTCGACCTGGTCAAGTGGCGTGTCCTCCCCTGCAGTGCTTGGGGCTGGTGTTCGCGAAATGCCGTTGACGGCAACACCATTTCCTTCGCCTTCAGGGTCTTCGCCCTCGGTCCCTGTCCATGGCGTACCTTTTCCTGCACATCCACTTTGGCCCCGCCTGTTCCCCGGGCCCCGCCCGCTCTGCCCGCCTGAGGCCCCGCCTTCACTTCCTGTGCCCTGTCTCCCTACTTAAAGCTGTGCGTAGCCCGCTAAGCTTTTAGCCGAAGAGGTTCGCTCTCGTCCCGCAGATCAAAAAGTGTTTTTTTCCCTCCTGATTTTGTATCACTCTCTTTCCCTCCAAATCTGGGCTTTGAGACAGGGGTCGAATTTTCCCCAGCTCAGCTGCCCAGGAAGAGACCCCGGACGTCGTCGTCGTCGTCGTCGTCGTCGTCGTCGTCGTCGTCGTCGTCGTCGTCGTCGACGGCTGGGCGTTCCCAGACGGCGCCGGCGCGAATCGTGACGTGCATTGCCGCCTCCCCCCCCCTTTTTCCTCCCCCTGGTCACGCCCGTGATCGCCAGGGAGTGGGCACCTGCGAGAGGACAAAGGGGACCCCGAGAAGCATCCCTGGGGACTCTCATCCACTTCAGCGGCGTCGGCGCCGGCGTCGGCGTCGGCGTCGTTGCCATCGTCCCACCCCTCGTGCCACACCTGTGCGCGCGCCGCCAGCAGGAGGGGACCCGAAGCGATCGGAAAAAAATGGAGAGAGGTGGGGCGGAGGACGACGGGAAGGAGGCGGAGAAGAGGGAAGGAGGCGGAGAAGTAAGGAGGCGGAGGAGGAGGGCAAGGATGGAAGAGTAAACAGGCGGCGGCGACGGCGACGGCGAAGGCGACGGCGACGCCGAGGCCGGCGCCGAGGACGACGACGCCGACGACGACGACGACCACGGAAACGACGACGACCACGACGACGCCGACGACGACGACGACGAGAGCCGACGACGACGACGAGCTGCGGCCCGCCCCTTCCTGCGAGGCGGGCGAGCTCGCCGAGCGCGTGCCGCCACCTGGCAGAGAGCCCGCAGGTCCGGAGGGCGACGCCCACGAAGCTCTTGCGGAGGCGCCCGCCCTCGACCGCCGTCGCCGTCGCCGTCGCCGTCGGCGTCGCCGCCGCCGTCGCCGTCGCTGTCGCCGTCGCCGTCGCCGAAACCGCCACCGCCTCGCCGCCGCCGCCGCCGCCGCCGCCGTCGTCGTCGTCGTCGTCGTCGTCGTCGTCGTCGTCGTCGTCGTCGTCGCTCCTGTGTGCGCCTGGGCCGCGGCCTTCTCAGAGTGTCCTGGAACGCTCTGCGCTCTAGAACACCCTGGAGCCTCCTGGAGGGCTTCTCGTCGCCCCGAGCCCAGACATCCGGCTGCTCCACTGTGTTCGGTGCGTGGGCCCTGGAGGCCCGGACCACTTACCCGGCACTGGCCTTCCGTCCCGAGCCGTTCCTCGACGCCCTCGCGAAGCCCAGCGAGGGCCCCCGGAGGCCGCCAACGACCAAAAACCGCCGGCCCTAATTTTCTTAGAGCGTGGGATCTCAGGGGAGGAGGAGGAGGAGGAGGAGGAGGAGGAGGAGGAGGAGGAGGAGGAAGAGGAGGAGGAGGAGGAGGAGGAGGAGGAGGAAAAGCAGGAGGAGGAGGAGGCAGAAGAGCTGGGAGGAGGCGGCAAATGAAGCGAATGCTGAACGAGGCACCACGCTTACAGGAAAAACTCATGCCGCCAACCCAGAAGATGAGCTCTGCGACAAGATGGGAACGGTCTTGCAAAAACCGCTGCCTCAGGTACTCTCCCTTAAGCCGTGGAGAGCCCAGAGGAGGGTCGTCCTATCCATGGCCTGGCTATCAAGAGCGCTCGTGACAGACAGCGAACCGTGCACGCAACCCACCTCACCATGGGCCCCAGTTTTCCAAATGCGGTGGGAGCTGCGAGCGGCTTAGACCCCTCTCGGGGACCCAACTTCACCAAATCGCACCGCCGAGCACGACTCTCTCCGCCCATCTGCCCCAAAATCTTCAAATTGACTGGCCGTTGTCATCATCACTCAGAGCCAGGCCGGTGCGCCCATCAAGATGCTCCTTCCTCTCAGCGTCGGCCCATTGCCCCCCCGAGCAGCGCCGCTGAATCCTCAGCGCTGCCTTGGGCGTCGAGGCGGCGGCGTGCCCGCGCATCTGGCGAACGCGCTCCTGGTGAGGCATCCTGGCGCATGGCCGCGCCACGTTTGGCGAGGGAATCCACCTCCTTATTGCCGTGCTAAAAAGCCAACGGGATGCCGTGCGACCTCGCCTTCGTTTCAATGAAGGGGCCCTGGGACACACAAACAAATACACACAAACAACAGGATTCCCCATATTTTCCTATATTTTCTGGGTTTTTGTCTTCCCCCCCACTTCCCATATTTTCCCATATTTTCCTGGGGAATCGACGATGAATTGCGTCTGTGTTTTTTTTTCCCTCCTGATTCAAACAGGTCTGGCGGAATCCGCTCGAACTGGGCCCGGTCGCCGCCGACGTCATCCAGCGCCTTCTTGACCCAGAGCTCGGCGTGGACCAACTCTCCCTTTTGGACGCCCGAGATGGGTACGGACAAAATGGATACAATTAGGGGAACAAAAAAGTGACATAAACATAAAAACTCGGAGGTCCGCGCGGATTTCTCGGATCGGCGTTGGACCCCCCTCCCTGGCGCGTTCCGCGCGCCAGGGGCGGCGCCAGAGGCGCCGCTGGGGGGCCCCAGCGCCGATCCGAGAAATTCGCGCGGACCTCCGAGATTTTATGTTTATGCCACTTTTTGTCCCCCTAGCAATGCCCAGCAGCAAATGTTGTCCAAAGCCAACAGCGGCCGCTGCTGGGCAGGCGGCCTGCTGTCTCAAGTGTACACTGGCCGCGGCGACACCGACAGCGAGTCCTCTTCAAAATGAGCAGGAGAGGCTTTTGGGCTTTGTACCCATTCTTTCAGTGCCCATGTCGTTCGTGCCGACCCCTGGGACTTGTGCAGAATGGCCATGGTTGCCGCGTGTATGTACGGGGCAGGCCCTGACGCAGCTGCGATCAGATTTCCAAGTCTACCGATCATACAGAAGGCCCACCCAGCACGAGCCGATGAGCCCACTGACCGTGCAACGATGCCAGCGAATCACATCATGCGCCTCTGGCAATTGTAGATCATGGCAGTCTATCCTCCCCCAAACCAGAAGCTTCCCCTCCAATCTATTCCAAGTATGCCTTTCGTTGTTGTGCCAATCGCATTTTCAAGCCCCGCGCGGGCCAGCGCCCTTCTCAACCTCGCATGTGGCGCGCGACGGAGTATCAGCAGCCGCGACTTTGTGAAGTCTCACCCAGTTGAAGAATCCACCTGCCAGCCACGTAAGAAATCGGCCAGCACCTCTGTAGTCCTCAGCATATGCCGAACTGGCGAGGAGCGTCTTGGCTGGTCTTTGAAGCGGTGGTCCAGCGAGTCGCTCCATGCCTCGACTAGCAGACACCGCCTTCAGCCTCTTGCGCGTGGAAATATGTACAATTGTCCTCAACGTGCCAAGTCCAATGTCATTGAGGTCGATGCTCGAGCCTCTCTCGTTTCGCCACGCACGCACGCACCCCCTTTCTGCAATCCACCCCGCCTTTTCGAGGTCATGAGAACAGCCCCTGCAAGTGGCCTGTCGATGCGCTGACTTCCACGTCTTTGCGGGGTTTTGAGCATGCCCTACACGCCCAAAGCCATCGCGCGCGGTCGAAGCCACTCGCCCAACTTAGCTCTCAGCCAGTCCGCTAGGGGATGCTCGTCAGCCACGTAGGTGGAGTGGGAACGTGGGCAATTGGGCAAGGGAAACTTCATGGCCCTGCGCCTGCCGCCGCGCCAAACTGAGCATGTTCAGGTGCGGCCCTGACTTTCGGAAGCTGGCGGTCGCTCGCGCCCTGCACTTTGACGGCGTAAGCGACGGCGGCCAGCCCGCCACTACTGAACAGCTTGCCCATTTGTCGACCACCCCGCGCCATTATCTAGGCAGACACAAAAACCATGTGCATAAACGGTTTCGCGCCATGGCGCGGACCCCCTCCTCGGAGCCCCCCAACGCCGACGTCGGTGGAGGGCTCGCCTTGGGGCTGGCGGCCCCGCTGGCAGGCCGGCGCCGTCGAGGGCCCCATCGGGGGGCTGTTCTGCGAGTTCGCGGGCGGAGGGGTCGAATTTTCTGACCCGTCACCTCCCGGGCGATGGGCGCCGAGCAGTCGCGACGGCCGCTAAGGGCGCGGACGCCCGATCGACGACCGCGAAATGCACCAAACAAGTTGATTCCCCTCAAATGCGACAGGGGGCGAAAAAACACCCCAGGCCCAGCGGGGGGTGAAAATTCGCGCCCCGAGAAGACGCGGGTGTCGCGCAGAACCTTCGTGTGAAGATTGCAGGGCCAGCCCAGTGGGCCCTGCCCGATCGGGCCCTCGGGGGTCGCCGACATGGCTGGGCTGGCGCTCGCGCGCCAGCCCGTTCCCGACCTGCCTGGCCCCCCGCCGGACACGGGCCAGCGCCGCCTGGGGCCGCCCGGGCCCCGCGCGGGTCGGAGACGCGTTGGGCAGACGCTGGGCCGACCAACGCGCGACGCCAACTCTATTTGGTTGATTGTGTTCTGATGGGGCCTGGCAGAAACAAATGAAACCGTTCATAATATATTATTTGTTGCCCCTTGGTTATCCTGGGCCTGCGCGCCCGTCGTCCGACGTGCGATGCCTTGTCTTTGCGCGTGGGCGCCAGTGCTCCGCCTCCCACCCGTCGGTCGCGCCCGAGCTGCCTGGCCGCTCTTCCTGTCTCCACCTGCCTCGCCACCCCTGGCGCCGTGGCAATTACGCGCCCTTTGTTCGGGCCAAGCTCCAGGCCCAGCTTCGTCGGCCGCTGGCGCGGATGCCCGGCCGCCGCCGATGATCTGAATGGCCTTCCTCTCCACGTCCGCGACCTGCAAGCTGCCATCTGCAATCGCAGTAGCCATGGTGAGCGACGGCCACGGAATGTAGATTTGATGCCGAGCACCCCGCGTGAACAGCGTCATCCTCGTCGTCGCGCCCAAGCGCCCTGCCATTGCCCTCCGGCACGCGCGCGCAAGCGCGGGGGCAGTCGCGCCGAACTCGAGGCCCCCCTTGCCAGCATGCGTCTTGACGAGCATAGCCAGCCTGCTCTTGGGAAGGCGATGCCCGCGGCCTGCCTCCCAGGACGCAGGCAGCGCGCGGCGCCCCCTCGAAAGCCTTCTTGAAACCCAGCGCCGCCGCCAAAGACTGCTTCGTCATGGCGCGACCTTCTTCTAGAAACAGAGATCGCGCCCGCGCGGCTTGCTCTTAGCTGCGCCCTGCCGCGGCACAGTCGTAGCGCCGAACATTTGTTTAGGGCCGCTGTCGATTCAAACTCCTCGCCTGCGTCTGTTGTAGAGCATGCGAGTGCCCGTTATGGCGCCGATGAATCGATGCCCTCCTGCTGGCTGAGGCAGCCGTTGGAGGATGGCGTTAGCGCTGGTCGTTGCGACACCTCCGCAAGATGCTCTGTCGTCACCATCGCCTGCCAGAGCGCATCAAGACACTCGTCGGACAGATGCAGCATGCTCCTGAGCCCTAGGTGGTCGAAGCCTGAGGCTGCCTGATCTTTGAATGAGATTGTTATTTTCCTGATCGCCTCTTGCCTCAAGGACTGCGAGGGAAATCGATCACCCTCAAAACCTCGTAGCCTGAGCCATCCCCCAGACGGTATCTCTCCCAGAACATGCCCCCATGTATTCTGCAACTGCTGCATGTCCGTTGCCAGCGTGGCCACGCGAGACTCAATCCGGGCGCAATCATTATTGCGTCCGCCACGGTGGAAACTTTCTCCATCGATGCGCCCTGAAGCCGCCTGGGCTTCCATTGCTCTGGCATGCTGTTTCCCCTGCTCGGCGATTCTTGTTTTCGAAAACTCTTGCTGGAACAGAAGTAGCTTCGCTCGCCGTCGCCCCCTGAACCAATTCCCCCCCGGCGCCACTCGCGCTGCAATTATGGCGTCCGAGCTTCACCTGACGTATAGACTCTGGCTCCAGAGGCTGCCGGGCGTGCGCGTCCTCGGCTGAGCGAGATGCGCGCCCAGCCCCATGTTCCCCCTCGAACACTTCGACGAAGGATTTCCTTCTGCTCCGGCGCCCAGGGCCTCCATGGCTGCCGCGGCGAGTCTGAAGTGGGGGCCCGCGAGCTTGCCGCGTCCGCAGGACGCCGATTTCTGCGCGTCTGATACTTAGGACCCAGGACCCGCCCCCCAGACCCTGCTCAACCAGCCATCCACCTCCCATGGCGCCCATGCAAATCACAGGCGCCCCTCGCGCGCTCGCGCCCTGTCGCCGCTTGGTCTCAGTTGGAGGGCTGTCTCGGCGCACTCGTTGGACGTTGTTTGGGGTGCTTGCGCGGGCTCCTGGTCTGCGGCTCCATCGCCGCTCCTGGCGCCGCTTCCAGCTCCAGCCGAACTGCCCGATGCGTCGCCAAGCTAGCGCCCTCGAGGCCCCTCACCCTGGTGACTAAGGTCTCGAGGTGCTCTGAGATCACGAAGTAATCGAGCACGCGTCCTCTCCCAACCGAACGCGCCCGCTCGAAGGGCGTTGCATAGCGGCTCCTCTTGAAGAGTTCAAAACGCAGCGGAGTCATGTCTGCGCGCCTCCTGCACATTCTTGCTACAATTGCCCGCGACGAGGCGCGCCGACCCCAATCGGAAGCCCCCGGGCAGCACGCCGTCCACCCACTGAAGTGCCAATCTCGAACTCGGCGTGTGCACTCCTCCCATGTCTGCTGGATCCGCTGGGCGGACGCGATTCCGCACTCCAGCCCCAGCACCCGGCGAGGTCACGCGTTGCCCTCGCCCTTGACGCGCTGGTGGACGACGGAAAGTGCCAGCCTTGATGTCGTGGCCGAGCCCCCGCGTCGCCTCTGGCCGGCTTCAGTATCCTGCGCCCCTGGGCCAATCGCACCAAACCCAATTCCATCGCCGCTCGCCTCTTTGACAATCAGCGAGAGTATGGATGCGACTCTTTGTGCTGATGCAGGGTTGGATGTGGCGATGTTCAACTCCCAGACTGTGGCGGCGATCGCCTGGTCGGTTTTGACAGATGGCCTCGTCTCTGCCCCTCATCGCTGGCGCGAGCCCTGACCTCCGAGGCCCCCCCCCGCCCAAAGGAGAAAAGAAACGACGCTGGGCCCCCTTGCGGAGGCGATTCCAACGCAACTCTGAGCTCGTCGGAAGAAAGCGCGGTGGACGACGGGCCCCCGAAAGGGGGCGGCCCTCACCGCTCGAGCCTGCCAGCCAGGCCCGAGGCGCGCGTCGCAGGTGGCGGCGCCGCGCCCACCCAAGGACGCTATCTGGGGCGCCCTCTGAATTGGCAACGCCACGCCACCTCCATGAGACATCGGGGACGCACTCTGAAGAGACGACGCCGCGCCTCCTCTGAGAGCCTCACGCACACGCGCGCGCGCGTCTCCAACAGTGCTGCTTCGCCTCGCGCATTTTTCACGGCTGGGCTCCACCCTGCTCTTCGCGGCGTGCTCTGCCTCCGCCTCCGGCGCATCCCGCGACCGGTTCCTGGCTTCCTGGGCGCGCTCTTGGTCTCCCCCACCCGCGACCTCGTCCACCTTGAGGCCTTGGTCGTCGTAGGCCTCAGCGAGATCGTCATCATCTGGGACAGGGGCGTGCGAGGCTGCCGCGGCTGATGCGCATGGCCCCATCGGCACATCGTCATTACTGACATGCACGGGCCGAACAGCAACTGCGCCGCCCAACGTGCCGTTCTCCGCATCGGCCTCCTTCAGCACCTGCAGTTCGAACGCTTCGAAAGCCACCTCGAGTGCCCGCGCGGGCCCCCTGGGCGACTCGGGCGCGTCGCCTTCCCAACGTTACGCTGGGCACCCGCAGCGTTCGCGCAGAGTGCAATGGCAGGGTCGCCTTCCTACCCAGCTGGCCCTCTCAAGAAAGCTTTCGTTTTCGCCTTCTCCAACTTCTGCTGCCGCTCCACGCGCGATTAATGAATATGTTTCTCGGCCTCGTGCCGTGCTTCAGCTTTCTGGAATTCGCCCCCCCCGTAACTTGAGCACCTGCTCAACCTTCTCGGCCTTCTTCCGGGCATCGGTCAGACGCTGGCCAAGCTGGAAGGAGGTGAGCTTCGCGAGGCCCACGAGCTGGTCGACCATTGCTTCAGTCCCACCAGCCTTGTCCCGCAACGCCTCCATGCCCTTCGCCTGTTCTGGCCACAGCTTCCGATCGTCTCCGTGAGCGTCGGCCAAAATGTCCAGCAGAGCCGTTGCAGTTGCCGGCTTCACTTTCGGCTTGGACTCTTCAGTGGTCCATCCTCCCGCCAATTCTTCTGTCGTGGGGCGCTGCCGTGGTACCCGTCGCCGCTCTGGAATGGAAGCTTCTGCTTATGCTCGTCGGGAATGGTACTCGCCATGCTTTTTTGAAGCTCGTCGCGAAAACCCGTCCCGTCGCGAAAACCCGTCGTCACGAACGGCCGTCGCGAAACCCTGCCCGAATCGATTCAAATCCGTGCATGGCTAGCAACGGTCACGACATGAAAAAAGCAGGAAGACAACGAGCACGGAACAGCACTCGAGGCGCTGGCGCAGCCAGGTTACGCTTGTGATTGAACCAACATGGCAGAGACCAGGAGGGTTTGAGCCAAAATGGCAACGTGGAGGAGGGGACGACGAGACGACGAGGACAACGAGGAGACGGAAGATGACGATGAGGAGGGGGATGGGGAGGGGGGAGGAGGAGGAGGAAGGGGGGGTCGGAGAGGAGGATGGGGGAGGACAGAAGGAAGCGGAGGAGATATTGACGACGGCGTGGAGACTGGACTGATGCTGATGAGGGTCATCCTATTCCACGGTCACATCGGCCCCGTGCATTTTCTCTCGCAGCGTTCGCAGCGCGTCTCGGCCATGCTTGTATGTTTCTCGCAGGCGTGCATCGGCCAACGGCACAACTAAAGGGGCGAGCTTTCCTGAGAAGAAGAGAATGATGTAGACATGTGGAGTGGAATGGCGGTCATCAACATCAACAGCATCGGCAGTTCCTCCTCCTCCTCCTCCTCCGCCCCCTCCTCCTTTTCCTCCTCCTCCTCCTCCTCCCCTCCTCCTCCTCCCCCTCCTCCTCCTCCTCCTCCTCCTACCCCTTCTTATCCTCCTCCTCCTGCCCCTCGTCCTCTCGTTCGCCATTTTGGCTCAAGCCACTTGTAAGATAGAATTGTCTAATCTACACCCGTTTTTTCTTGAAGGTTCCGCCACTTGTATAATAGAAATGTATAATCTACAACCGATTTTACTCGAGGAGTCCGCCAGGTGTAGAATAGAGATGTATAACCTACACGCGAGTTTTCTCAAGGAGCTAATCTACACCTGGTGTTTCTCGAGGGGTCCCAGGCCTGTTTACACGACGGGCGTCAAGCTGGCTTCCAACATGCACTGATCAAAGCAACTCGCCTGGGCATCCTGTGCTTTGGCCTCCTCGCGGCGACGGGTGGTTTTGGACTCGACGCCAGGAGGCGCTTCGCGGCGACGGGCGGTGGCGCAAACGGAGCAGAAGGAGGAGAGCGATAATGGTAGCTAGGCGGAGCGGCCTCCTATAAACACATTGCTGCACACCACAGCTGGCAATGCAAGCCGCCCCGAAACCTGCCGACACCTACTAGCTCTGGCCCGTTGGAGGTTAAGGGAGTGCGCGTGTGCTCGCTTATGCGTGCGTGTGTGCGTGTATGAGCGAGTAGGGATCTGATCTTTATGACCAGACACTTCACGAGAAAAGGTGCTTTGCTGCTTTGAACTCTGCGGGTGCGGCATCGCTTTTTGCGGCCTTGGCCGAAGTCTTAGCCTTGGCCTTGGCCTTGGCCCTGGGGGTGGCCACGACAGCAAGGGGCTCAGCGTCGCCATCGCCCTCGTCAGGCTGAAAGACCTGGCGAGTCAAAGGGACGTTCACCTGGCCCAAACACTTAGAACTTACACTTAAGTAGTGGAAACTCACATCAACAGTCACCTTGTGTAGATGGTTCATTACAGTGTACTCGAAGTCAAACGGCAGAGTGATCACCCCATGGAGAAGCACTGGATCCTGGAGTTCGTCGGGCTTCCGAGGCGCATCTGCCTTGGCCTTGGCCTTCGGGGCGGGCACCTAGCAGGCCCCCAGGAGGAGGAGGAGGATCAGCAGGACGAGATAAGGATGAACAAAAATCAAAAAATCGATCTTGGGGGGGGTATTTGACAAACCCCATGCGTTCTCTATGAAAACGCAATCTTTCTTAGGGGGTTATTTGACAAGGGCCCCCTCCCCTCCCCTCCCCCCGTGCCGGCGGGGAGGGGGGGGGTGAATGAGGAGGGGGAGGGGGAGGAGGATTGGGAGTTTTCCCTCAGGCTACCTTCTGCGGGTATGGAATAGCCCAAGCAGGGCATAGAACGTCTCCCATGGTCGGGTCGCAGGCGACGCCGTCGCTGCACACGAAGAATTCCATGTCGAACGCACGTGCCACTTTCACAGAACCTGGCACCTGGATCCTCGTCACATTGCCGAAAAAATTGAGCCGAATTCCCGCCGAGACTTTCTTGGCGACGTAGAAATGGTCTTTCTTCTCGGGAGTCGGGTTCCAGAGAATATCGCACCAGCCAGCCTCGAGCACGTTCGCCTCCATCTTGGACTTGGGGCCGTCGTCTTGGCCGACCGTCGGCGGGGCGAACACGGGCACGTTGCACTTCCGAAAGATGAAGGCCTGCAGCTCGAAAATGAACGTCTTGATCACCGCCGAAGTCGTTGCCGTCTGCGCCCACAAATCTTCAAGTGAATCAGGTACCGACGTAGCTTCGCCATCAGCGGCTTCAGCTTCACCGTCAGGCGCTGCAGTTGGAGCAGGCGGAGGAGCTGGCGCACCAACGCGCTGCTGTAACTCGATGTGGGTGCGCAGGTCCCCCGACGCGGCCGCCTGTATCAGTTCGGACCACAACTCCACCCAGGATGTAGATGGTGTTGAAATATCAATCTCGACAGTATCATTGAACTCCGCTTCGAGCTTCTTCATCGAATCCGTCGCCATGTCGGTCAGAGCTCCTCGGCCCATTGAAGACAGTATTCCAATGCAGTACCGAACGCGCAGAGACCTAAGCATCATGAACTCGTCCTTGGTGTTGCACGCGCCCCCCGTGACGTCGGCGACGCTGAACAGGTTGCCGCAGTCGTCGGAATCGATGTGCTTCGAGGCCCTCTTGATGAAGCAGACCGTCCTGTCATCGAACACCTTGCACGTCACGCGCAAGAACGACTCCAAAGCAGCATTGAGTGTCAGCTCATCCTTCTCGACCAGGCCGCTCAAGCTCTGCACCATATTCTGCGACACAAAAAGGTAGTACGGTTGCATGGCCATGCCGCAGGTCGTCTTGTTGGTGTAGATGAAGCGCGACACCTTGAGCACGAGCTTCTCGTCATTCACGTACTCGGACATGTCCCTCACCACCTCGGACTTCCGCGGCGACGGGGCGGTCGCTGAGACTTGGGAGTCGTCGCCCTCGTCATCGTGCGGTTGAGACTCGGCCCCCTCGCCACGCACGGCTGCATCCAACCCTGCACGTCGGAGCTCGACGTCGTGCGCCGTGACCATCCTCTTGACGATTTTCCTCCTCAGCTCGCTCCACTTGCTGTAGGTCACGCCGTCCACCGTCACCTCGGACGCGAAGCAGAACTCCAAACCGATGGCTATGTTAGCCCTGATCTCGGGCATCTTCGCATCCTTCATGATCTCGGATACAGGGGTCACGATGGCCTGCACAAGATCGTCGAGCCACACCTTCTCGCGGAGTTTGCCAGACTCCTCGACCGTCGTTTGGGTGTCTTCCGCAGGGATGCATATGCCACCTTTACCCTTTTGCTTTTTGGCGGCCTTCTCTTGCAGGACCATCGCTGCGAGCCTCTTCTTGCTGCTGTCCTTGTGCAACACCGAAAATCCCATTTGGGGCGATCATATGCTTGACGGTCGCGCTGTCCTTCTCTGCGCCCCTCAGGATCCACTTGGGGGGCCATGGAAAGCCCTCGTCCTCGAGAGGAATAGCGAACTTCAAGGCCTCCAGCGCGATGATGTTGAGCAGCCCCCCGTCGATCACGTCCTTGATCTTATTGGCGGCGACCAAGATATCATTGTTCAGCGATGCCACCGCCTGTGAGACAGAGCACGGCAATGGCGCCCAGTAGATTTGGCCGATGCCAGGAGGCCCCTAGCACCAGCCCCACCTACGATGGGGGCCATTGCGTTGCCCAACCAGCCTCGTTGCTGAGGTCCTTTCTCAGGAATTCACACGAGCTCTCACACATCTCCTTGTAGCCCGACCAGGCGGACAAACTTACCATCTTATGATAAGAAGCAACAAGCTTCTTGAAGTGATCGTAGAACTTGAAATAATCAGAGAAATTGCTGATGACGTGGTTCTCGTAGAGTTTATCGTAGCGGTGAGGGCCCTGCTTCGGGCAACTGTCCACGGTGATTGAGTTCGCTTTCGCGCGTTGTTTCCAAGACTTCTCGGCCAAGGGCGATTGCTCGTACACTTGAATCAGCGTGACGGCGCTGCCGTGATGGTATTGGTTGTGCACGAGTTTGATCCACAACTGGATCGCCGTTGGCGCGTGCTCCTTCAACACGAAGATGTTGGAGAGACCGTTCTCCATGATCTCCACGACGTTCTCGTTGAGAGCGTCAGTCTGGGCAGCCAAGAGGGCCGCCTTAAGTGGGCGGGATGCCCGCTCCAGGTTTGCTGCCATCTTTCACAGCCGTGGCCCCGTGCCCAGGGAGAAAAGCTGAGGGCGCCAGGATTGGCCAACGCTGGCCTGGATCAGGGGGGGTACAAATATCACCCTCGGGCCCACAGGGCCCATTGTTCGCCCTCGGGTACAAATATCACCCACGGGCGAACAATGGCAGCAAAACTGGGGGAAGGGCTACGACGAGGGAGGAGATTTGTGAGTGGGGAGAAGCGCCTCGCAGTAGGTCGCACCCGCAATCATGTGGTAGACCCCCTGCGAGGCCGTCAACGGCGTCTCTCCACGGCAAGGAGGCAACCCCTGAATTCGGAGAGGCCTCCATCGGCCAGGATACCGTTTGCGTATCTCCTCACCACCGTTAGTTGTCGGCGTTTGTTGTTCGGTGACCTCTGAAGCAGGAGCTCGAGGGGCCCGCCGTCGCCGCCACGACGCAAGGCAGGCTTAGACACCTGGTTTGGAGTGAGGCACCAATCTTTCATGATCGCGCGGAACTTCTTGCTCTTGCCGCCCTTGATGCTAGGATAAAGTGCGTCCACCTCTGCTTCAATGGTAGCTCGATCCATCTTCTCCAGGTCGCTGTTAGGGGCTGTCGCCCCCGTCTGATTAACTCCGTCAATCATTCTAACGTTGTAATTTCTCCGACTCGCAAGGTAAGTGCACTCGGAATAGCGGTGCGCACCCTGCGAAAGTGCATCGCTTGAGCCAAAAAAGGCTACGGTGGAGGAGCGCGGACGGAGTGCGAAAGGGGGAGTCGGGCCGGCGAGGGGCAGCGCCAGAATGGCAGCGTCGGCTGTCGCGGACCTCAAATGCGTCAGCCTGACCAGGGGGATTCGCGACGACCACCCTGAAAATCAATCCCGAGGGGGTTTCGCGACGGCCGTCGCGAATCCCAGAATGTTTTCACGACGGCCGTCGCGAATCCCAAGGGGTTTTCGCGACGGCCGTCGCGAATCCCAGAAGGTTTTCACGACGGCCGTCGCGAATCCCAAAGGGTTTACGCGACGGCCGTCGCGAATCCCAAAAGGTTTTCGCGACGGTCGTCGCGAATCCCAGGGGTTTCGCGACGGCCGTCGCGAATCCCGCGGGGTTTTCGCGACGGCCGTCGCGAATCCCAAGGGGTTTTCGCGACGGCCCTGTCCGACGGCCGTCGCGAATCCCGTCGCGACGGTAGCGCGACATCCTCCCCCTATCCTCCTCCCCCTATCCTCCTCCTCCCCCCCTCATCCTCCTCCCTCGCCCGAGCTGCAGGAGCCTAGAGCATGATTCTCTAGTTTTTTGTTCGCCCAGGGCTCTCTCGGAGCCCGTCGGGCGAACAGACAAGGGGGGCCTATCGTGTCGGTGAACCCAGGCGCATCGCATCTATTTGTTTTCTGTCGATGCGGTGCTTCAGCGTTTATGCGATTACCCCATCCACGCACGAGCAATGAAGCCAACACCGAATCTAAACCTAAGGCTACCCATAGAACATCAATTCGCACAACATGCAAACCCCATCTGCTTCGCGTGCATCATCGATTGGACGTGGGAGCCATGCGACATCTGCCTGATCGATTACGAACTTCTCTGCGCCAGGGATCCCAGAATGGCAATCTTTGTGAAAATTCAGCAAACAGAGACAACACCGAATACCTTTCATCACTTGGGCTCATCCTGAGCTTGCAGACGCAACACCTACATTCCATGCATGGGTCCTCAGAGAGCCTGTCCAACGCACACTGGCATGTCACCATGAGGCGGCGAGCGTCGACGGGAAGCGGGCCCCTCAACGACCGAGTTTTATGCCTCTGTATGCCCACGCATGGGTGCACGATACTTGATCCTAAGTAAGATCTCCATTGCACCCTCAGCGACTGATTCTCAGCCACGGGCGACTCCGATCCAACGGCGAACAAGGGGCGGAACGAGTTGTCCAGCCGAAGAGGGATACCGAGATAATCTGGACATGGCGGGGCGCACTTCCAGTGCACAAGCTGCACGACGCCACCGTGCTCGACTAGAGACAACTCACCCCCACGACCGAGCGAATCAGACAATGGAGAGAAAGCGGCCACTGCCTGAAGCGCCGACAGCGCTTTGGTCGCGCTGTCGAACCACTCATTGTAGATCGTGTCGCTGATGCAGGGGCCGTGGTCAACCCCGAAGAGCTCGAAATACACGTGCGCATCTGCATAGTCAGCCACGCCTCCTGGCGGCGGGCGCGGGCGGGGCAGCTTGTTCTCCCTCCTCCTGCCCACTGCCCCTCAATCATCCTCCTCCTCAATGCTCCTGCTGTTTTCTTCCACATTCAATTCAACCAAAAACCTAAAACCTCATCCTCCTCTTGGTGGAAAGGGCGGGTTGGCCCCCTGAGTCCGACTTCATGTTCAAGAACAACTTCGAACGTAGATGCAGCCTTCCCAGATTCAGCGAGCACCTTCTTGCTCGCCTTGAGATCGGCTGCCTCCATAAGTGTTTGGTCCGACAACTCCTCATTGTCGAAGTGGTCAACGTCGTCGCATACATACTCGCCGCCAGTCTCCATGAGTTTCTCCAACGCCGTGGACAAGCCGTCGTCAACAGTTGCGTCAACAGAATCGCCGACGTCCATGTCATCGAGTGCTTCTACGTCGGCGTGACGTTTCTTTTTCTTTGGGTTCTTTGGACGGGGTTTGACGGGCATCTCGTTGTTCATGATAGCCAGGTGTTCGAACTCGCCAATCGCCTTGGCCTTGCCTATGTCCAGGAGGGCCACGTCCACCTGCACGCTGTGGCCGCCACCCGTGCACATATCGTAGTATCGCCTGAATACGCCGTCAATAGGCATCGCCGCGTCGAGATCACTCAGGCTCGATGGCAACGAAACAACGCCATCGCAAGTAACCGAACACTTGATAAAATATCCAGAGTAGCCACATGTGTTGCAGCATACCCATACATGTGCATCGTCCATCTCACTGCAAAGCCGCAACGCGATCTTAGTCGATGCAGCCCTGCCTCCGTGATTCCGCACGTACCTCCACCACAACAGGCCATGTCCCCACGACCAGCAGCGCTCCGCTTCGTCGCAATGCTTCAGCCCCTTGATGGCTTCCACAGGTGGCGGCTGAACTCCAGCAGCTGGTTGAGGAACGCTGAAGTCAGTGAACATTCGTCTGGACTCGGGCAGCATCTCCATTGCTTCGTCTATGAGGCGATGAACGTCTGCTTGAATGTCTGACCAGGTCACCCTGTTGTCCGCCCGCGACCCCATTCTTAGTTCTCGACGGTTGCCAACTCTGGCGCCCAGAAGGGGCAGGCCTATGTTAGGCGCTCGTTCTATCGCATGCTTGATGATTTTGCTTAAGCTTTCCATCTCGCCGTTCGAGCCTGTCAACTGCATCGCGACCATGCGCATTGGGATCCACAGAGACATACCGATTGCTCCAGTTTCTGAGCCTCGCTGCACTTCGCCATAGAATAACGTTTTGATCTTGATGGCCTGGACGTGCATCTCGGCGTCGGCAGTCCCCAATATTTTTGAGCACACTGACTGCCTCTTCGGGCATCGTTCTGACGATCTTGCATATCCCAACCAAAGTAATGATAACGGGAACTCCTGCGTTGGCCTACGGGCCCTGCGCTGGAAATTCCCAAGAAGTTGGATCACCAACGTGTTGTAAAACTCCGTGTACTCAGATACTTCTTCTATCGGCAGGTCATCGACCATATCAATCCAGTGTGGATGCTTGAACAACGCCAACATCTCTTCTGCGATCTTGTCTGCCCCATTGCAAACGAAACGGGCCATATTCGAAGGCCCACTCGGATCTTTAATATCATACCGAGTGAGGAAGCTGTGGTAATAATGGTTCAGGGGTTCCCTGGTCAAGGACGCAATGTCCATCACGCGAAAGAAATTTGCATCTGCAACCGCGTTCACCACTGCATGCGACCACTTTGTCATTTTTTTCTGTAAACGCAGCCAACTCGTCCTTCCGCAGTTCGTCTACATCTTTCGTAGTAACTCTTGATGCCTTCCCTCGCGTACGTGGCGCCAGCACCGTTCCCAGTACAGCAACTAGGTCCCGAGCGTCCACGGACCTGACAAAGCGTTCGCATTCGCTGATCTTCCCCCATCTTCCAGGTATGCATTTTGGGGGAACCCGCCCAGTAGTTTCACTCGCCGATGGCCTGCCGTTGTCTCGGCTGTGCGAAGTCCAGACGTCTGCAAGTTTCTTTCCAAACGTCCGCCAGACGTTCATAAGTTTGGCCAGCGTCGAGAAGTACTTGAAACCACATTTTTGGTTCATGAAGGTGTCGAGAAAAAAACAGACCATCAACCACTTGGAGTTGGAAGTTATGGCACTGGCAATGGGCGTCGAACCACCAAACGTTGGGTTTTCGCAAAGAAGGTGCCATTAGCAATGCTCTGGACGTAATCTCGTCGCCACCGCCGTCTGAACACGCAAGGAACAACTGCAACGTATTGCTCGAATCTGGCGCATCAAGCCTAGTGCCTTCCATGTTAGCAACAACCTTCACCACTGTGTCGCTGGTATCGGTATCCCCAATAACTGCTTGATATGTCTGTGGTGACCAATCTAGCTCGGCTCCTGACGACGTTATTTGCTTGGTAGAAATTGCGAAGCAACACTCGGGAGTTGACTCTTTAACAATCTGCAGAGTCCCACTTGTGCGCCTGCGAACTATAGAATTGAATACGTTTGGCCAAGTACTCTCGTTGTCGAAGCCTTCTAAAATATAGGATGCATCGATTTCGCTTGTCCTGAGTTTCTGCTCGTGCCACACTTTCGCGTTCGTCGCGTCCCCTCGGAGGTACATGCACGAGAGCCGCCACGAGGAATCATTGCTTTCAAGTGCCAGCGCCTGCCTGCAAGAAACGTGAAACCTCCGAGCAGCTGCCAAACAACACTTCCTTAGCAAAATTTCCCGTTGGATAACAGGCTTGTGCCCCGTATCTA